ATTAAGTTGTTTTTATTATTTGCAAACACTACACCATTTTAAGTAAAGGGCTTGAGCATTCATGGATATTGATATCTGATGTGAACAGTATCCTGGAACCAATATGCACCACCCCAGATACAAAGGGCAACTGTGCCTCACAGTGGGTGTATGCTTGCACATCCTTTTGTGTGTGTATGTGCATGTGTGTGTGTGTGTATGCAGTTGTGGATAGATAATGTGTGTCTTTTTTCTCACTTTTTGTTCTGTTTTCATTGTGATAATTCCATACATGCATACAGTGTACTTTGAACAAGGCAAAATTAAATCGTGTAGGGAAATCTGCACATTTTTTTAAATTTGAAAGCTATTTTAATTATGCTAAGTCCTTAATACAGATTTTTCATATATGGCAAACCACAACTGATATTTTTTTACTTAATCTTGGGAGAAAAGTGGTTATCCATCTGCAAAAAACGGAAACTAGATCCATTTTTATCACCATGTACTAGTATCAACTCAAAATGGATCAAGGACCTTAATATCAGACCCGAAACTCTGAAGTTAGTACAGGAAAGAGCAGGAAACACTCTGGAAGTAATAGGTATAGGCAAGGACTTCTTCAATAGAACCCCAGCAGCTCAGCAACTAAGAGAAAGGATGGACAAATGGACTTCATACAACTAAAAAGCTTCTGCACAACAAAAGAAATGGTCTTTAAACTGAAGAGGCCACTCACAGAGTGGGAAAAATATTTGCCAGCTATACATCAAAGGACTGATAACCACAATACACAGGGAACTTAAAAAACTAAACTTTCCCAAAATCAATGAATCAATAAAGAAATGGGCAACTGAACTAAACAGAACTTTCTCAAAGAAGAAATTCAAATGGCCAAAACATGAAAAAAATGCTCACCATCTCTAGCCATAAAGAAAATGCATATCAAAACCACACTAAGAGTCCACCTCACCCCTGTTAGAAAGCCATCATCAAAAACACCACCACCAACATGTATTGGCGAGGATGTGGGGAAAAAGGAACCCTGGTACACTGCTGGTGGGAATGCAAGCTAGTGCAACCACCCTGGAAAAAAATTTGGAGGCTTCTTAAAAATCTAAACATAGATCTGCCATATGATCCAGCAATCCCACTCTTGGGGATATACCCAAATGAATGTGACACAGGTTACTCCAGAGGCACTTGCACACCCATAAACATGGGTGTGAATTGCAGTGCTATTCACAGTAACCAAGTTATGGAAACAGCCAAGATGCCCCACTACTGACAAATGGGTTAAGAAAATGTGGTATTTATACACAATGGAGTTTTACTCAGTTATGAAGAAGAATGAAATCTTATTATTCTCAAGTAAATGGATGGAACGGGAAAACATCATTCTGAGTGAGGTTAGCTAGGCTCAGAAGACTAAAAATCTTATGTTTTCCCTCATATGCAGACTTTAGATCTAGGGCAAATACAGCAATGTTGTTGGACTTGGGTCACACACTAAGGGGAGAGCACATATGGAGATATGTGGATAGGTAGGAAACCCAAAACATGAAAGTGTTTGATGTCCCCACTGCAGAGGAATTAACACAGAAACCTTAAGGCGACAGAGGTCAATATGAGAAGGGGATCAGGAACTAGTGAAAAGGTCAGGTAGAAATGAATCAAATTGGGTTGTAACACACTTGGGCATGGAAGCAATGCTAGGACTCTCTCTGTATAGCTATCCTTATCTCAACTAGCAAAAGCACTTTGTCTTTCTTATTATTGCTTATGTCTTCTCTTCAACAAAATTAGAGATAAGGGCAGAACAGGTTCTGCCTGGAAGCATGGGGGTGGGGGGGTGAGGGAGGGGCAGAGGGGAGAAATGGCCCAAACAATGTTTGCACATGTCAATAAATGACATGTAAAAAAATCTTGGGACTAATGATATATGCAAGGACCTGGACAGACTTGGCACTCTCCTCCAAAGCATCATTCTATATAATATAATATATATTATATTATATAATAAATTATATATTATATAATATATATTATTATTATATATTATTATATATAATAATAAATAATAATAATATAATAATTATTATAATATTATATATATAATTATATTATTATATAATATATAATAATAATAATATAATTATATTATTATATATATAATATATATATATACTATTATATATATAATACTATAGTATATATATAATACTATAATATATATAATAATTATTATAATATTATATATATAATACTATAGTATATATAATACTATAATATATATAATAATTATTATAATATAATATAATAATAATATAATGTATATATTATTATATAATATATTATATAATAATATATATTATATTATTATATAATATATATAATATTCTATTATAATAGTTGTTAACTATTATATTTACTTGGCTATTATTGAAAAAATTTCAAACTAATTAGAAACTGTGATGAGAATGAAAAGATTGGGTGTTTTTGAGTTGACACTTTGGAAGGACATAAGGGATGTCTTAGTAAACATTTTCATGAACTGATTCCTTTCATGACTAATGTACTAGGCTGAGTGATTAGATCGAATTTGTTGGATTAAATACAAATTTAAAAAATAATCATTAGGGTGACTGAATAATGAACAGGGTCAACAAAGATTTTAAATATAGCACCATAAGTTTATTTGCAGAAATAATCTAATAATGATATTTTCTGGGCAAACAAGAAGAAATTTCATAAAGTTATCTGTAGCACCTGACTATTCTTCCTTGTACCTTAGATTTCTAAGAACTCACACATAAGGAATACACCTGGACTCTGTTTAGTGTTTCTCTTCAGTTAAAAAGCAAGCAACCTTAACCCAAGTAGAAAACTGAAAAAAGCTATTTAAAACTCAACAGCTATATAGTTCCTGAAGGCAAAAGAGTTTAAAAAAGACAACAATCAAAATACTTCAGATCTCTAGTTACACAGTTCATTCACTCTTTCCACCATACCATTCTTCTGCTTCCTGATGCGGCTTGCTGGGGGGTGGGCAGAAGAGAGTGAATGAGAAATGGTCCATATAATGTTCTTAGGAATTATTATTTCTTAGTCTATCAACATTTCTTTTCTAAATTGATTATTATTCACTTCTCTCTTAGTACTTCTCTGGTTCCTTTTCATCTGTGAGGGAAGAATATATGGAATTAATATGTTTTCTCAGCTTAATCATTATTCTAAGACTAGAGTTTGAAAGGGTATTCATCTTCTCAGTTTTTGAAGCTTGTAATTTGTGGATTTTGCTTCATCAGACATTGTTTTATTCTCACAAAACCTGAGCGTATTATGAGAAAGCAGCCAGCATGTGAATCATATCCGTTTTCCTCACATGCATCCATGAATGTAACTATGAAGCAACTACTATTTTTGAAAAAGAGAACTATGATCCAGGTTTATGTATTTAATTAAGTCCTTAGAAGCAAACTAACTTATAGGACGTATGAGCATTCTGTATTTGTGCACAAATGTGGCCATCAGGAAGTTACGTTACCTAAGCTTGATTAGTTTATATGAAGTGAGAGCATTTTCTTCTTTATTTCAGTGTACAAGTGCAGATTTGACTTTGGAAGTCACATATCAGTATGTTATGAGACAATCAAAGATTACTCTAAATTTTTGCAGGAATACAACCAATAATGCCACTTCATTTAATGAATAGTCATCTTTACAAATAATAAATATAGTCACAGTTTTAAAACAAATGGAAAGCATATGTATGTATGTGTACATATATAATTATTGCAAAAACGTAGAAAACTAATGTCTGAGCAACTCATTCATTTTTGTTTATTCATTACTAACTGTTCAACTGTTAGTTTTTTATTTTCTTAAATTTCAAAAGTTGATATTTTTAGCCCATATGGGTGAGAAAAAGTATGTAGCAAAACTGGGGTTACAGATGCAGTGCTAACTGGAATAGAGCCCTGTAAGAACAAGAGTAGCAAGAACAGTGTGTGTGTGTGCGCGCGCGCACGGGGGTGGGGATTTACTATGTCTTAATAAATTTCACATTACTATAACATTTTAATATTTTACAATCTGGCTTTTACTTAGTTCCCCTGATGCACAAATGCTCACAATCCTTTACTTTTGTGTAGTCCCTTTAGGGAACAACACAAGCTATGAAGTATTCAAAAAACCTTACCTGCTGACTAATGTGTCCTTTTAAATAGTTTTAATCTAATTGTTCTGGGAAAGTTCTAAATGACAAGGGCTATTCTTAGCTCCTTTTGGCATATCTATCTCAAAGGCATAAGGGGTCTTTCTTCTTCATGCTCAGTTACCTGAATCCTCTCCTAGGATGTTTTAAAATCCTCCCCTAAGAAAAGGAACTACAAATCCCAGGAGCCAAAGATGGACAGCCACCTACTCTCCTATCCTCCTTCGCCATTCCCCCTCCTATCTAGTCCGCTAAAACTCAGATTGAGGCATCCTGAAACATGCCTGAGAGAAACGCCCGCCGTCCGCGCTAGCTTTCCGAGGCGCTGTGGCTGGGCTCCTTTAAATCAGTGCCGCGAGTGGTGAACGACGAGGGGGACGCAGGGTAGGGTGGGCGTGGTCGCAACATCACCTGTTCCATGGCGCGCAGGCGCAGTGCGACCACGCGGGCGGGAGGGGGCGGGGCGAGGCGGGGCGGGACGGGCGCGGTGGGCGGGACTGACGGCGCCCGGCTGCTCGGCTCAGATCGCTGCTCCGCGGCGTGGGGCTCTGAGGCGGCGTCCGGGAGGGAGGTGTCTTCTGCAAAGCTTTGCCTGGCGCTGTCCAACATGGAGGAGACGCCGGCCGCCGCGGGCGTCACCTGCGGACGGGACTGATCCCCGTTGGCGTTCGGGGCGGCGGCGCCGGGGACTCGGCCGCCCGAACGCCCCGGGTGGACCCGGCTCCCGTCGCTGCTCTGGCCGCCGGCTTCTCCACCCGGACGCGGCACAAGGCGGGCGTGCGGCGGCCCGGAGCCTCCCAGAGCCATGGGCAACGAGGCGAGCTTGGAAGGGGAAGGGCTCCCCGAAGGGCTGGCGGCCGGAGCTGGGGCGGGCGGGGCGGGGAGCCCCTTGCCCTCCGTGATCCCGGCGGGCATGGAGGCGAACCTGAGCCAGCTGAGCGAAGAGGAGAGGAGACAGATCGCCGCTGTCATGTCAAGGGCGCAGGGGCTGCCCCAGGGAAGCGTCCCCTCTGCCACCGCGGAGTCGCCCTCCATGCACAGGCACGCACCGCATGACGCGTATGTCCGGCATATATGTTCGGCTCCGTGCACATACTGCGGGCACGGCGGCGCATATATGTCGCCTCCGTGGATTCCCGGATCCCTAATGGGCGGCGATAAAGAGATCTGGAGCCTTTGGATGGGCGGGGTGAAAACGATGCAGTGTAGAGTTTCTGGTGGGATAGTCAAGGGGTTGCATTCTTGGAACTATGATTTTAGGTTGTTAATTTTGGCCTTTCGGAACCTTGTCCCTCAAGGATGGCGTGGAGAAACGCCCTCCAGTGTTTTACTAATCTGGAGGTCTTCCATGGATACAGCACAGACGTGTTAGGGGATGGATAGAGCTGGGTTGGGTGTTTACCTGTTTCTGTTTTAACCTCCATAGCATTCTGGAGTATTTTTCTCTTTTATTGATGTCTAAATATTCCTGTTGCGATTCCTTTGATCTCTCCAGGAGGTGATTCCACCCTACCCCCAGAGAGCAGGAGCTGTTTAGGTAAAAGACAGAGAATGAATATACCTTTTATACTCAGTGAGAGACCCTAAAATATGTTGTGACATTAAACAGATGGTTTGGTCACAGCAGAGCAGGTGCTGTACATGAATTTCTGAATTAGCATATGCTATTTTTTAAAAACCACTGCTCTTTTTTATGCAAAGTAACTTTCAGTTTATGGAAGAACATGTGAATTTGTATCATCTTAAAATTAACGTTCAGTACACACTTAAAAATAGAACAGATAAATGACAACTTGCACAGGCAATTATAAGAGCTAATCTGTAACATTAACTTATTCATTTCCTCTCCAACTTTCCATTTTCCTTCACCCCAATAAATTAGTTGTTTTCTAATTAGAGTACTAAGAGGGTATAATCATTACGCCTTCCTTGCCTTTATTTTTGTAAACAAACCATTTAACTTTGTGCTCTTTGCTGAGAACAAGTCTCTCTCCATGGTCCTGAACCATTCCTTTGTGAATACTGAAGGGAAATCTTCAATTTTCATTAGAGGTATTAAAAATGTGAAAGACTTGGATATATAAGAATAGAGTCCTGTACTTGGTACAATAAAAACATTTTTTACTTAGTCACTAACATGTAAATACAAGTACATAATTTTGTCCAGTATAATATTGAATTTAATATAGGAGAAATTAAAATTTTATAGGTACTGACAGTATTTGCACATAACATTTTAAATGGTGAAAACGTGTCAGATTAAATGCCGTATTCTCTTGAGAGGGGAATTTTTGCCACCATTTGTGAAAATTAGCCTCATTATGTTAAGTGTTTTGCATTTCTTCAAATTAGTAATATATTGGATTGTTTCTTTAATGTAAAGCCCTTTTATGCATTACTTTCAATAGTAGATTTTACAGCATGAACTGTTTTGCTCTACTTGATGAAAACCTGATTTGGAAAAAGGATTGATGTTAGTGTACTGGATTTTTATAGGATAATGACAAGGTATAGTTCTTCCTCAGCTTTTTAGAAATGTATGCCAGAGCTATAATTTTTCCAAAGAGGAACATGCAACAGGTTTAGCATCCTGCTTACAAATACCAAGACAAATGTAATCTCTGAGTTTTAGATTTCTATCTTTTCTTTTGTTCAGATGGTGGCTGAAAAATATTATTTCAGTTTATACAACTGTTGTGGTATACAACATTTGTATCAGACAGCACACTTTTAAAGGTCTCTGTTCATTATTTGGTTGTGATGAAATTGTTATTAGTAGGTTTTCTGTGGCCTAAACAGTTCTTGGTTAAGATTTCCTACAAATACTCAAATATTAATTCTGATTTTTGCAACACACTTGTATTTTACTGAAAGATATCTATGAAAGATACATAACTTTTGGAAAGTTATCCCCATAATGATAACCAGAGAAACACGTGGTCTCTCATTTAGATTTTTCAAATCATGTTAATTCATATATATGCATATATATAATGTAAGAAAGTATATCCAAATTAGTTGAGGTTTTAAGTGTTTAAAAGTTGTTACTTGGACTTGGAGAGATTTATTTTTTTATTTTTAAGAAACACTGATTGACAGCCACAAGACCTAGGTTCTTATCTCATTGATTTTTAACTGACTCATAGCAAATTAATATGCACTTATAAACCAATATGTGTCTCAGGTTTCTTGCCTCTAAATAAGGCTAATAATACCTGCCATACCTATTTTAAAGAGTCATTATGAGGATCAATTAAAAATTGACAGAGACACAGTTTTAAATTAAAGGAACCCTACAAATACAGAGTGTTAATTTCAATAACACAATAAATGACTGTCAGTAATGGTTACTAACAAGTTGTGCATTGACTTATACATTGTTATGAGTTATTTTGATGTATTTATTTTTATGCACTCTGAATAGAAGTCAGATTGCAGATTTTTCTGGTTAACTAGTTTTAAATGACTGTGAATTAGTCTTTTATCTCTCTTAAGTCCCAGCATGCTCTCCAGTATAAAAATGCATAGGCATTGCTAAATTTGCTTATATTTCTAAAACTATAGAATTTTATGTGATTCAGCATTGTCAAATTGTCATTGATGGTTACATTATATTTTTTAAATATTTTATCACTACAGCTGCTTTTCATCCTATATTCACGTATATATTTACTTCATTTTATCTGAAGTAGTTTTTCTACTAACTTATGAAAGACAAATTCAAATCTGTGGATGACAATAGTAAAATGAAAAGGGGGGGAGTGTTAAACATTAAGTAGTTAGGAGTAGAAGACAAGTTACAAATGAAATCCTCCTGGATTATTGATTCATTTTAGACCAGGGAGGTGTAATTTTATTACTTCTCCTATTCATTCCGTGTATAGTTAAAGATGTGTCATATGAGAAGGGCTTACTGGGAAACTCTTCTAATGGAACATTTTATAAGAATTCTGGCCAAATTGATTATTTCCTTTAGTGCTCCTTTGGACATCCCCTTCAGAATAGCTCCCTTCACTATATTTTTTTCCCCTGGGGCAACAGGACAAGTCAGGGTTCTAAGATGAACATGTAATGTATCCACTTATATCTTAGAAGGCCTGTAAGAGAACTTGAAGTGAAAAGAAGTCAAGAAACAAACATTAGTTTAGAGTACTAAAAAACCTGTTTTGTTCATTCATTGATCATTGTGAGCCACCCACTCATTTATTAATTCATCAGACTTTAATGCTTATCTCCTAGTTGCCAGGTTTGGACTAGTGATGAAAAGCTGAGTGAAAAATATTTTCTCTCTAGCAGTCCAGTGTATTAGTCACATACTGCATTTTAGTTGCTTTTCCTTTTATCAAGATGACTGTTATTCCAAATAAAATCCACCAGAAAACTGCAATTAACTAAGGCACCTTTATATTTTTGTATTAAGTTGACATCTTCTCTTAGTGATTTTCTATTTCTCACCCTTAGAGCTATGTGTTTTACTTTATTTACACAATCATAGCAATTAAAGTAAGTTTAAATCATGGCACAGTTTTTGTGGTTTGTATAGGTCTTTTTTGACAGGGAGAGTCTCCATTATGGTACAACTTAACATATTCATGAAGTTCATTTGGAACTTTATGAAGTTTTGTACATTTTGGATTAAGTGAAAAAACATTACCATAAAGGCAGTAATTAAAATACATTTAATAGTATTTTCATGAAAGAACAATTTCATAAAATTAAGAATAGATTTGTTTGTATTCTGTTTTAAAAATAGATTTCCATGATCCTGCACAAATAACCGATTCAATAAAATGCCTAAATAATCACTTCTAAGATAGTCACATCTCTAAAGTAGTATCTTCAAGGGAGTGGTACCTTATAATAATTGAATATAGAACATTTCTAGAATAATGTCTAAATTTATACTCTTTGAAGATAATCTATTTCAGGTGTTTACTGTGGCTTTTCTGCCTTCATATGGAAGGGAGCCCATAGGAAGTCCATAAGATACTTTCAAAATTTTTTACTCAAATTGAAATATGTAGCAATGTATTCTAAAAATCATGTAACTGTCAGAGTTAACTAGGGACATAATTTTAGTTCCCTGTGTAAGTGAAGGTTTTAGAGACATGATGAAAAGCTCACTTTTGTAAACATTTTCCTAGAGTGAATTATCCCAACTTAGAAATCTCTTTATTCCTCGCTTCCCTTCCCCTGGTGGTGCTGGAGACCTAACCCAGGATCTTGCACCACTATAGGCAAAATCTCTACTGGTGAGCTACACCCAGCCCTGTATGTTCATTGTTTAATCAGAAAATCACGTCATGTGCACGTTACTACTTATGAATTATTTTCTTTCTTAGTCTCTGCTATTTATAATTAGTGCTTCTGTGCTTACTTTTTACTATGTCTTAGTTCTTGATATGTACTCAAATTTCTATATCATTTGGAAAGTCCTGAAAAACTTAATTTATAATATTAAATGGTAGAAAAGGGTCTGGCCCCTTTACAGGTGAATTTTGATAAATTTAATTAAAAACTGTGCAACTTTATTGTGAAATTCTCTTATTTTAGGTGCTGCTATTCAATCACTGTTTCTTTACCCTTGTTTCTTTTAAAGAGAAACATACCTTTTCCAAAATTAAAAAATACATATATGTTTCAAGCAAAATACTTAATCTGACTCCTTCATTGATATAATGTGGACTGTTGCAACTTTATTGGTAAAAATGGCTTATTTAAAAAGTTAGTGTACTTACTATGACATATATATATGTCATATATGATAAGAAACACCTATTTTAATTATTTAACCACAGTCCTTTAAAATCAACTATATTTCTAAAGCTATTTACAAATTTTTATCTTGTATATCTGTTATGAATTCAAAGAAGTCTTAGTTATTTGTTATTTCTTTATGTCATTAATAATAAATAAGATTAGTAATTTTCTATCAATGGTAATAACAAATGATATGGAAAACATTGAGCCAAGAGCTATGTATTTTCTTCATCTGAGGAAAGTAACAATACTTTTCAAAAATGAGTCCACAATTGGCCTGTCACTGTTTGGATACTAGGCTACATCTCAAGATGCTTTAAGCATCTGTTGTTACTTTGCATAGAAATTTCAGATTAAGAATTAGCTATTAGAAAAAAAAGATAATGTTTTGTATAAGAAAGAGGGGTTTGTTTCTCAAGAATGTTTAAGTAATGAAAGTAGAAATCCTTATTCTATAAAGTTTAATAAGGATAATATTTAATGGATATTCCTTTCTAGACGAAATAGAGCAAAATTGAATAGATAATGCTTTTGGCATGCCTAAAACTATCATGTAACACCCCCTAATGTCACATTGTGTACTTTATGTAACTAATATAAATTCTCAAAATCAGGTAGAGAGAAATCCCAACAAACCTGTATATTTCAGCAGGAATAATTTTATTCCTTGATGCTACTAGTATTTAGAAAAATTTTGTTGATCAAATCTTTTAATAAAAAAAAGTTATGCTGGTGACCACACAAGCACTATATTATAACATAGCATTCACTTATTGAGGTTTTAATTTAAACATATATTTAATTAGGTTTTAGGTATTCTGTTAAGCATATTCATGTAAGTAATTTTAAATATTTAAATTTTTCATCATATCATTTTTTCTTTTCTTCACTTCATTTTTGAAAATTTCTTCCCATGCATAAAAATAACAAAAGTATTAAAGGTTTTATGATCACTTATAGGATGCTATAAAAATTGTTCCCATTTATGCTTATGCATTCACAATTTTGAGACTAAGCAAACAGTAGTTGTCTGTAATATACTTTGAAGTTACTTCCACTATATTCACTTTTTCTTTTTCTCTTCTAGGAAACAAGAGTTGGATAGTAGTCATCCTCCAAAGCAACCAGGAAAACCACCAGACCCTGGGCGTCCAGTTCAGCCTGGTCTCAGTAAAAGTAGAACTACAGACACTTTCAGGTCAGAGCAGAAATTGCCTGGAAGGAGTCCTTCTACTATTAGCTTGAAAGAATCAAAGTCTAGAACTGATTTAAAGGAAGAGCACAAGTCTAGTATGATGCCTGGTTTCCTCTCAGATGTTAACCCTTTAAGTGCTGTCTCTTCTGTTGTAAATAAATTCAACCCTTTTGATTTAATATCAGACTCTGAGTCATCCCAGGAAGAAACTACCAAGAAACAAAAGGTAGTTCAGAAGGAACAAGGAAAACCTGAAGGAATTACAAAACCTCCATCTCAACAACAGTCACCCAAGTCAGTTTCTAAGCAGCAAGTACCTGTTAAGGACCCTAAGCAGAATGGCTCTCCCAAATCATTATCTTCTCAGCAGCCAGAAAAAATGAAATCACAACCTCCTAGTACAGTAAAGTCAATTCAGGGGCCTGCTCAGCTTCCACAGATAGATCAGGCAAAATTGCCTCATCAACGAGAAGCATCCAGGCCCCAGACTACTACGCAGTCAGATATAGTAAGGGGAGAATCAGTTAAACCCTTGCAGCAAAACCCTTCCAAACCATCTACTCAGCATGCAAGTCCTGGAAAACCTCCAGCCCAGCAGCCTGGATCTGAAAAACCACAGCCTGGGCCTGGAAAGTCCACAGTCCAGCAAAAAGGGCTAGTGAAACCCCAGACCCAGCCATCAGGCACCACAAAGCCTCCAGCTCAGCAGACTGGGTCAGATAAGTCTTCATCTCAGCAGCCTGGGCCAAAGTCAGTAGCTCAGCCTCCTGGGCTTGGAAAGACTCCAGTTCAGCAGCCAGGGCCAGCAAAGTCCCCAGCTCAGCAAGCAGGGACAACAAAACCCCCAGCTCAACATCCTGGACCACAGTCTCCAGCTAAGCCAACTGGGCCAACAAAGACCCCGGCTCAGCATCCTGGGCCAGGAAAAACCCCAGCTCAACAACCAGGCCCAGCAAAGCCTTCCACTCAGCAGCCTGTCCCAACAAAGCCCCCACCTCAACAAGTTGGCTTAACAAAGCCTCCAGTTCAACAGCCTACATTGGCAAAGCCACCATCTCAACAAGCTGGTCTGGCGAAGCTACCACCTCAGCAAGCTGGCTTGGCAAAGCCTCCAGCTCAACAACCTACATCAGCAAAGCCACCACCTCAACAAGCTGGCCCAGCGAAGCACCCAGCTCAGCAATTTACAAAACCAGTAAGCCAAATAGTAACTGGGAAACCTCTGCAACCACCACCAACTTCTCCATCTGCAGCACAGACTCCAGAACAAGGCCTGTCTAAAACTATCTGTCCTCTTTGCAATACCACTGAACTTCTGTTACACGTTCCAGAAAAGGCCAATTTTAACACATGTACTGAGTGTCAAACCACTGTGTGTAGCCTCTGTGGTTTTAATCCCAATCCTCACTTAAACGAGGTGAGTGAATTTACTCACAGAGTCCATGCTCTTAAAGCATATTATAATTTTCCATGCATGATGCATAGTTTATCACTTACATGACAGGAGGGTGTTTTCTAGTCCATCCCGTCCTTCCCCATGTTACCTCCCTCCTTCCCTTCCTTCCCCTCTTCATTCTTTTCTTCTGTGCCAATTGTAAATTTTTCATAAAGTCTCCAATAGTAAGCCCAAAATACCAGCACAGTTTCTGATAATTTGGCATGTAAAATAATTATGAACTTATTGAAAGTGGTTAAATTCCTCTTACTCATTTCATTTTGCGTGTACAGTTTACATTATTTGTTATTTAGAAGAAAATGATGTTGCTTTAACTTTTAAATTAATAGTCCTACCTACCAAATGTTGGTACTCTTAACTAAGATCATGTTTGTGTTAAGAAAAAAGTGGACAAGATTTTTCTAATTCTAAATATAATTTCAATATAAAATTAAATATAAATTTTAATTTGTACATTCCCCTTCTCTGTAGGTGCTTCTATTATACTCAGTGAGGGTATGCTTCTCTCATTAGTTGAGAGTCATGGATAACAGCACAGAGCAGTCCACAACATGAACTCATTAGAGCAGGTTCAGCACTGATGGGTGTCATCTTAGATCGCAGTTGATATAGCTTATCTAAGTATGTCTACCTAACCATCAGATAATAAAGGGGCTGATAGGGACACAGATGAGAACAAGGTTGTTTACTCAGATTGAAGACAGAAAAGTGTTCTCAGCTAGTTAGTTAATATTAACTCAGCATTGAAGTGTCCTAAATAAAGTAGTATCTTATTAGGTAGAGATTTGGGAATATTCTAGAGGGAAGGGACAAAAAATAAATAAAAGCAGCAGAAAAAATAGGAAATTCTCTAGTGTTAAGAAATAATGCAGTGAAGATGGAATAATAACATAAGTAAAGTGAGAATAAAGAGATTTAGGGTCTCAGAAAACATACGAGAGGTGGATCTTTTTGGGTTTTTGTTTCTAAAGAGATCAAATAGTTCCTACTTGATGAGAAAGCACATTTAATCCATCTGGAGGACAGCTTGTAGTAGACTCCCATGCATTATGTCAGGAGACAGCCAAAGAAGTAAATTACAGAAGGCAATGAAGGATTGTGTGATTTAAATATCCCTGAGAAATGAGGTTTGTGTACTTTTGTACATGAAGTCTATGCTATGATAGCAATAAAAATAGTATTAACTAACTCATGTTAATTTGGGTACTAGTTACAATGAAATATGAAAAAAGATGTAGAGTTAAAATATGTTAATCTCTACTTATTTTCTAAAGTATATTTTAGTTTTTCAACCAGAAGTCATATTGGATACTTTAACATTTGTAATAATCCACTTTTTACATATAAATTTGGAATTAATTCAGGACATTCTACATTGAAATTATGGAGGAACTCAAATTATAAATAGTTTTTTAATATGTAAGTTTTGAAATTTTGATAAAGGTATGTTTCTGCCCATAATACACTGTCTTCTTAGGAATATGAAGTAATCACTTTGAATGATGGATGATAATTGCATCAGATGTTTGGATTTGTTATGTTTGGGTGGCAGTTTTTAATGCAAAAACATACAGTTAGAAATTTAAGCTATGTATATTATTTGTATGCTTACTATTTAGAAGACAGATATTTGAATACCTTCTTTATGGAAGTCATTTTGCTACATGTTTAATGGGATATAAATATAACTAAAACATAGTGATCTTAACATGATTAAAATATACCCAATTAGATAATGAATGTATGCATTCATGTATGCACAAGGAAATATGTGTCCAGATGATAGGAGCTATGAGAGATATGAACAAATATTATGAACTTCAGAGTAGAAAGTACTCATTCCCAGTGGGTGAGATTAAGGAAAGTTTCATGGAGAAAGTGGCATTTGAACTCAGTATACGAATATAAGTACTATTTCAGCAGATAGGGAACATGAAAGAGGGTCAGATTTGGAACAGGACCTGGACAGAAAAATGCAGGATGTATTTAGGGAATCAATCTAGGTTTGCTGGCGTGATGGGGAGGAAATGGAAAATGATGTTGGAGATAGGCTGAAATCATATTTTTGCCTTTATATTTGGCAGGGAGTGATGAGAATTCTGTTTTATGAAATGTACCTTGCTACTGTAGCCATATGTTCATCATTCACTTTAGAAATTTACCTAGTTATGAAGCACTATTCAGTGAGGTAACAGAATCAACTGTTTGATAGATATGGAGTCTTCCATGTATGTGTGTGTCTATAGTAGCTTTGTATAGGTGTTTATATTTCACATAATTATTTCTTATGTCTTTTGTCAATATTAAACTTCCAAATACTGCTGGGGCATGCATTCCATTTTTTCTATTATACTAATGAGGAAATTGGTGTTCAAATGGTTGCTATGGTTACTTTAGTTGTTAGGCTTGCCTAGATAGTAAGTTAGCAAGCAGAACCCAAACTAAATCTTCTAATTCCAAATGTGTTTACTTATGTGGGAAGAAAGATAAAATGTGAGGTCAAAGGAAGAAGCCATCACTATCAGAAGTGGGGAATGGAGTTGTTTTCATAATAGCAGAATTTGGACAGTCATGGATGAACATGAAAGAAGTAAGTAAGGTAGAAGGCAAAGGGCTTCACTAAGTCAAAGAAGGCATACCTTACTGACTGGATGACCTTGGACAAGTCCTTTAAAGTTTGTTATTGTGACACCATTTGTAAAATAACAGTAGTAACATGTTCTTTGCCAAGCTTCTTGGGTTGTTCATAGGAGTATCTAAATGTTTATGTGAGAAAGTATTTTAAATACATAAAGTGCTTATAAAGTTGCAGCATATTGTAGCACAGATAATCTTAATAGTTTAAACAGATTGTCTTTATTTATTTTATGGTACTGGGGTTTGGACTCAGGGTGTCCACCTTGAGTCACTCCATCAGCCCTATTTTTGTGAAGGGTTTTTTGAAATAGGGTCTTGTGAACTATTTGTGCTGGCTGGCTTTGAACTGTAATTCTCCTGATCTCTGCCTCTTGAGTAGCTAGGATTGCAGGCATGAACCACCGGCGCCTGGCTCAGATTGGCTTTTAAAGTTTGCCTGCACATCGTTCCCTATAGAGCTACAATATCATAAGCTGTTCGGTTCTGAGGTAGCAATCTAAAGCCATTTGATCAACAATGCTAGTAATAGCTTTTCATTTTAACTTTTATTTTCACTCATAAGGAAAGATACAATCAAAGTTCTAATTCTGAACTCTGAAAAGGCATCTTCCCTAATTTTTAATCACCACATTACCAGTTTCTTAGACTTCTTTATTATGTGGAAGTTAGAGTTGGGAAGTTAGAGCTGGAAGAGGCTGGAAGCTTCTGTTCCTGGAGATAAGGGGGATGATGCAATTTTAAACTGTTGAAGGTATCCATGAAGAAGTATATCTTTCTGAATCTTCCAAATTGCACTCAAATATTCAGATTGAGAATGAAAACAGTCTTTCCAATTTACATAAATTTGTTTTTCAGCTTGATGTTTATATACAAGTAATTCCGTATTGTTACTACTTATGTCTTGTATTGAGAGATTAGAAAATTTTCTCTGACTTTTTTTGTTACCTGTCATATCAGAATTAGGATTATTTAGTTGTGATTATTCTGATTTATGAGATTACCAGCTCTGGAAGGGGGAAAGGATTGGAGAGGTAGCTACAATCACCCACAAGTTCTAGAGACATATTTTCTCCCTTAATTATAAATTTCCAACCTTTCCCCACTCTGCTACACACAAACACTAGACAGCTCAATCATCTATGTGGAGAGGATGGCCTTTAAATTAACTGCCCTTTCTGGAGGCTATTGAGGTGAGTGCTGTCCTTAAGAATCTATTGGCTCCAAGTCTGGATTTTTTGTGCTGACAGGAAGTTATAGCTGTTGCTATAACTATTTATACAAAGTAGTTCATTTACTTGGTGAACATAGGAACTGAACATTTATTTTCTAGTTAGTGACAAAAGTATTTTTATTGTAATTTTTTTGTTGATTTGCTCTATCACTTTTAGTATACAGCTTTAGGACAGATACATTTATGGATAGATTTTAAAGTTTGACCTTAATATTTGATAATTCTCCCAACTCTTCTGAAAATTTTTAATATAGGAAAATGACTTCTCATTTTGAGAATGTTGATAATGAACTAAATGGTAGTGATGAAAGTAAATTTAGGTAGGGTTTTTCATTTTCAGTTTTTCTAGTCATGTATTAATCAGTCTTTTGGCTGAAACTAGGTATTTTATAAAACAAAACCATGACTGTTGTTTAGGGAAAAACAATGTAGACTTGCATGCAAACCTTTATGTGTTAAGAGGACAAAACAAAAATGCCTTTATATTGTTTAGTTGGGTAAAATGGCTTCATCTTTTAGGTGGATGGAACCTGAGGAGAAACCATACAAGGTAGATGTTCCCTCTGGCAGAGTAACCAAAGAAGCTTTTAAAAAAGCACATATTCTTTTTTCAGTTGCTTGCTGGTTTTAGCACAGAGGTGTTTTGTTGCCTCAAATTCTAAACTAAACTGCCACATAGTTTCTCTTTAAAAGGACTGAGACAGGTGTGGTGACTTAAGCCTGCAATCCTAGCTACTTGGTAAGATGGATTTGGAGGATCATAACTCAACACCAATCCTAGGCAAAAAAGTTCACTGAAGACTTCCATCTCAACAGAAAAAAGCTGGGTGTGGTGGCATGCACCTGTTATCCCAGCTATGACAGGAAGTCTAAAATAGGAGTGTCATGGTCTAGGCTGGCCCCCCCAAAAGTGAGATCTTTCCTTAAATATAACCAGGCAAAAGGGCTGAAGGTGTGGTTCAAGTAGTGGAGCTCCTGCCTAGCAAGCACAAAGCTCTGGATTCAAACCCTAGTACCACATACAAAAAAAAAAAAAAAAGGACTGAACTCACGTATGTTCATCTCCTCTTTCTAAAGGTTCCACTTTTTAAAA